ATAATAATGAAGTACAAAGAAACAATCCTTATTTATTAATGATATAAATATAAGTTAGTAAATACATATTTTGTATTGAATATTGTAACATTATAGTAATTATTTTATTGCATTAAAAGTAGATAAAATATTAATATGGTTGATGACAAGATTAATAATAAAAAGATTGGAAGAATCACTTAAGAAATTTGCACAGGTGCGCCAACAATCAAAAGAAATATCAGATAGACTTTTGAAACGTACAAAATGCATAGCTAAAGAGGAACTTAGAAAGCTTGAAAATAATGACAATTTAGGTTTGAAGCAAATATACAATGGAAAAATCATGGAAGTTCAACAGAAATATCAAGAGGACATGGCAGATATTGGTCAAGCACATATGTCTGCTGCATTAGAACCAGATCATGATGCATTGATCAAGGAGCAATTTAGGAAGAATCAATTAGCAGCATTAAAAAGAGGAAAAGAGGCAATGAAGCAAATGAAAAATATTCAGCAGGTTTAATTTTGTTTTTTCATACATTTAGTTACATTATAGAGAATTTTTATAAATATTCATACATTGTGCTAGAATAAAATTTATGAGTGATTAAATAAAATCTATGTAGATGGATAATACACAACAACAGCGTCAGGAAAGATTACATCAAGTGAGAGAAATAGAGAACTTTAGGTCTACAATGGTAGCAAACCTTCCCAAGAAAACAGTATCTGAAGAAAATACTATATGTATATCTATTCAGAATGAAACTGAAGACAAAAATAAACAAGAAAAGATATCTAAAAAGATGAAGAAACATGTTTGTAAGAAATCACCTGGGAAGACAAAAACCAATATAAAAGTATATTAGTTCTAAATAATTTTGATATAACATCAGTAGAGTCAAGTATACATATATATATCGGAACTTTTTTATAGGTTGTAGGAAATGATATTAAAATAAGTTCTCCAGCTAAATCTCCAGTTAAGTCTGCAATTAAATCTCCAGTTAAATCTACAGTTAAATCCCCAGTTAAATTGAAGGCAAAAACAATAGAAGAAATTCAAGAAAATGATTCTCCAATTCTAGAACAGCAATCTATTCCTAACTCAGTTATAGAACTATTGCCTGCACAAACTGCACATGCTACTGAACTTAAGTTTGACAATAAAACTTCTGAACAAGATGTTCAAAATATTCGGATAAAAGATAAAACAACAAGGTATGTATAAAGAATATAATGTTTAACAAATTAAAATTTAACAAATATCTTGGATGTTAAAGGTATAATCCAGATGACTATGTACAAACAACTTCAGATTCTACTAATAGTGATAGTTCTAGTTCATTTAGTGATGATTCATCATATTTTTCTGATAGTGGTGAACAATATATAAACAGAGAAACAAAAACACCAAGATATGTAAAATGCCCAGCTACTGATAAAGTACACTTATATGATCATAAAAAGCATCATAGTAATGTGTATGATCAACCAACTGGTGTAGTTGAAAAAATACAAGCATGGGATGAGGTTTGCAATAAGTAGTATAATAAATATTGTATTTACATTCTAGTCATATGATCTTTTAGCCATTCATGATAATTTAAAAAGGAACATAAAAAAAGATTCATTGATATTAAACATGTGTTCACAGCCAAGTGCAATGGATTTGGCTCAAGAAATTGAACGAGCACAAACTGCTCAAATACGCGTATTAGAAAGTCGTAAACACAGCGCGAAGAAACGAGGAGAAGATGCAGTATTAAGAGAAAAAGTACGCCGGGATTATCAGACACTTATGCAACATTTAGATCAACTTACTAATGAAGAACGTAAATTAAAAGCCAGTCAAGTCGAACATTATCCGGTATATATCTTATTTTAATGTTCCAAGTTTCACCATATACATATGTCTCATTAATTACAATGTTTCTCCTTGCAATTTCTATTTAGAAAGATACATATGTACAGGAAGAACGAAGAAAAATTTTACGAGACCAACACAAAACGAAATTAAATCGTGCACTAAAAACGTTATTAAATGAAGAACAATGTACGTCGTACCCTGTAGAAAGACAAATTACTCTTACACCAAGAAATCATGATGAAAACATAGATGACTGTGTCAATTGGGAAGAATCATGTTGCTTTAGTCAATGTACAGAAACTAGCAAAATTCCACAAAACAAATGCAAAGAGAATGGAATCTCACGTGAAGAACAAATATTAGATATGTTAAAAAAGGTTGAAAGACAGAAGCGATTGTTATTACAAGAATTTGGAGCAGATTTACCAAACGACATTTTTAATGCATCTATAAAGCCCTTATTTGAAAGAGATAAATCAGTTCAGACTCAGTCACCTACTCAAGTCGCGCCTATCCAAAAACCTATATCGCCAGAAATCACAGTGATAAATGCATCTTTTGATGAAAAAAGTAAAAAGGATAAAACGGATAAAATAGAAGAAAAAAGTGATATATCTGTGAAAAAAGTAGAAATTGCTGTACAAACTATGACAGGAGATAAGAGTAGAGAAACTGTAGCTCAAGATAAAGGTACACAAGTAGAACTGGTGCCACAGAAGGAAAGTGAATCTACTTCTGTTACTGATGAAATTAAGACAATTACAGACCATTACCCAATTGAACCAAAAATTACGGTTATCAGAGCAGGAGTAGACAGTAGCGAATCAACAAGTTCTGAGACAATAAACGGAATTACTGATATTGATGAAGAAAGCCCGGAAATAACGCACAAAAAGAAAAAGTACGTCATGAAAACATCGAAGCCAATTCCGACAAAAATGTGTCACAAATCATGTTCAACTCGTCCATGCAAACCTTTGACTCCTACAAAGAAATATTCAAAATTTTTGTCAAAATCGCAATATAGCAGTCCAAGAAAGTGTACGAGTACGGAAGATGTGCCTAGTAAAAAGATTAGAATGTATGTGGATAAAAGTGGATTAAATATTAAAGTACAGCCACCTCCGGTTGCAGAAATTGCTGTAGATGTTAATACGCAAAGTACTCAGGTTTATTCAACGGGCACTCACGAACAACAACAGGTCACTATGAGTAAACAACAATGGATTCAATCCAAGTCAAAAAGAATTAAAATAAAGGATGTTTCAGACTCATCAACGTCTTTTGCTAGTCCTCCACCAGCAAAGCCTAAAGATATACTTGAAGCATTAAGCAATAATATCTCTATTCTCGAACTGTTAGATTCATCAACAAACGAAAGCTTAAGGCTTTTGAGGAGAGATGTTAGTCCAGTATCAACACCTGAAACCCCATCACCACGTACCATGAAAATGCCTTCAAATATACCTGATCTAACTAGAATTAAAAAATTACTTAGATATCCATCCACAGATACTCAAACATATAATAATGATAATAATAATAATATTAACAACAAGTCATCATCCACCAAAAATGATTATTCAACATCAACAGATGTATCTCAACATCAGCAAAATGATCGTCTATTATCAAGAAAAATTAACGACGTACATTTGAAAGTTCCAGCTTCATTAGGATTTTGTTTATGTAATAATCCAGACTGTAAACAAGAACATACTAAATTTGATGAAATTCGTAATTATGCATTAAAAAATTGCCCACAGATATTACAAAAGTACGAAGATCTTCAAACTACGTGCGCTGAGAGAATAATTTCTTTGACACATCTTATTGAAAAAGTTCGAAATGAACAAAGAGGTATATTACTTTTATTAATTATTAACAATTAAGTAATGAAGTTTAAGGAGAAGAAAATTATTATTATATGATTTTGTTTAGGTATGGAAATGTCCATGATCGATCCATCTCGCCTCGATGAAACCAGTTTGATGCAGTTACCTGAGCCACGAGAAAGGTCTGATCTGGAAAATGTTCATAAACTTGTAGAAAATATAGAAGCGATTCATAATCAACTTGCAAAAACATTAATCGAATCTCAAAGGATTATTAAAAGCAAGGCAATTATTAAAGAAGAACCTGATCAAATTAAAGAAACACAAACAGTAACTCCAACAACCGATGATAATGTAATTTGCCTTGATGAACAAGAAATAGAAGTAGAAAAAGAAAGAGCCAAGCCAAAGATTATAAACGAGGAAAAAGTGAATATTCAGTTGAATAGATTCAAAGTACATAAATCAGCCCAAGTGTTAACTTCAACACCAGAACATGATACTAAGCTGATGAAACATTATGAGGAAGAACTGATAGAAAAAATATCGAAAGAAATTTTGGAACAAAGTGAAGGTTTCAATAATAATAATTTAATTACATCAAAAGAAATTTCAACTATAAAACATTCCATACAAACTTCAACGGATAATGATGGTTTTAAAAGTAATATTTCCAGAATAGAAAGAAATGATACAACTACAAGGAAACATTCTAATAAAGAGGTATAACTTATGTTTTTTAATTAGTAATAATAACATTTATATAATTAAATACAATACAATATACTGAAAGTATAGTACTACTGAATGGAGCCTAATTTTTCATAACAAATCATAATGAATTGAATATGAAGAATACATTTTTTAAATAAACTTTTTTTCTGTCTGTTAGCGCAACATTTTGTTACATAACTTATATATAATTATTTAGTTAGTTATACATTGTCAATTGTTACGTTGTTCTAGTCAAAAAGGATTAAAGATTTTGTTCCAATGCTGACTGATCCAAAAGTATCGAAAGCTGTAGATAATTTAGCACATTCTAATGGAAGAAGTAAACCACCAGTGAGTTTACTTAGTGGGCCATATAGGTAAAATTTTGTTTTTTTCATATTTTTTATATTTTCATAATTTAATCTTACATTTTTGGTACGATTATAATAAAATCGAATTCCAGGCCGGAAATTGAATCATCAGGTCATGAATTGTCAACGATAATTGAATTCGACACGCCGGATACCGTAAATAAAAGTCAAAGTCATAATGCCAGAAGTCCATTATCAGCGAAGAAGGTAGCAGAGAGTCAAATAACGAAATCTACTGCTATAGTAAAGCCATCCGAACACATTGCTTCTTCGCTTAATTTACATAATCAACGTGCAGAAAAGTTGTGTAATTCTTCAGTTACAAAATTATCTTTAAAAGAGTTAGTAAAAGAGGCCTCGATATTTCTTGATTCACCCAAAACATCTAAAAATATAGGAAATCAAAATTTAATGGGAAGTAAAAACGAAGGAAGAGAAGATATTGCCGAGGAGATGAACGATAGAAAATTACAGCGTAACACGGTTAATCAAAAATCATCGCAGATAGAGGAATTGCAGCTTTTTTATCCTAGTACTGATGCAAATAACGAATGTAAAGATAATAAGGATAAAATCACATCTACAAGTTCAAATAGTTTTTCCGAATTATCGGGTGTTTCACAAATAGCAAGTACCCCATCTTCTACTATATTAAAATATGCATCATCTCCGGAAGAAATGGAAATTGCTCTTAAAAAACTTGGTCTAGGTTGGGCGATTACGACGTTGAAAAAAACACGCGAAGCAAGCGCTTTGAGCTCATCATCGAATTCTGATGTAACACCGATGAATACTGCTAAAAGAATATCACCTGTTAAGAAACAATTCGATAGTAATTACGGATTACCAGATTTTAGTGATGTGTCTTCTATATCTATTAAAGAAGCTAGTAAAAGTACAGAGCAAGCAGTTCTCTTAAAAGGTAGAACTTCTACGCCAAAGCTGCAAAACTCGAATTCTAATAGCGAGAGGACGAATTCAATTAACACAAATATATCTGAAAATTTTCAAGAACCTGACAATGGTTTAATAATTTCAAATATATCTCTTACAAAGACGAAATCTAGCATTAAAAAGTTAGAAAATCTATGATGTATTTTTATACTTTTATCTAGTAACATTTATTCTAAATATTTAAAAATATACAATGAATTAGTGAAAAATCAGTTTAAAATTTTGCTTCTTGTTAGTACCATCGATTCACTGGTAGACTGCACCACTGTATACAAAGTAGAGCACTGCACTAATTTCGTGTAATTCTACATAGATAATTTCTGAGAATTTCAGCTTCAATTTAATTCCTGAATAATTCAAGAATTCGCCTTATAGACCGAAAAATATAATTTTTTAAATTTCTCATAAAGAAATTAATTCCGCGTTATTACGTTATTATTATGTTATAATGTATTACGTTATATAATATTACGTTACATTGTATTACGTTATAATGTATTACGTTATATAGTACTACGTTATAATGTATTACGTTATATAATATTACGTTACATTGTGTTACGTTATAATGTATTACGGTATATTGTATTACGATATTTTATATTACGTTATATTATATTACGTTTTGCCCTTCGTACAAATACTGGGCAGAAGGCGTATGTTACCATGATCGCGGACGGATATAAAAACGAGCATAGTGGGGATATCGAAAGATGACAAAGGAAAGCAAGTGGATCAAAAGAACAGTTGTAAGTAGGCAGTCGTCAGTAGGAGTCGCGAGTCGAGAGTTATGAAGTTGCTAGTAAAGCAAATAAATAAACTGTTGAACAAAGCGCCGAGTATTCATTAGGCACCTTTCACGTTCTACATCTCATTCATATTGTATTACGTTATATCGTATTACGTAAAATTGCATTACGTTATATTATATTATGTTATAATGTATTACGTTATATAGTATTACTTTGTATTTTATTACGTTATATCATAACACGCTATATTATATTACATTATAATGTATTACGTTATATTATATTACGTTATAATGTATTACGTTATAATGTATTACGATGTAATGTATCACGTTATGCAGTATTACGTTGTAGTATATAACGTTATCTTGTATTACGTTATATAGAATTACGTTATAATGTATTACGATGTAATGTATTATGTCATATATTGTAGTATTACGTTATATAGTATTTCGTTGTCCATGGATTAAACGATTTTTAAAACTTGCTTATAACTAAAACACTGGGGAGAGAATATTCATATGAAACTAATCTTTATTAATTCTTTATTCTAATTAATTACTATTATATTAATTCATTAATTCTTTCTCTTCCCGTCCTAAACTTTCATTTGAACGTTCAAAAATTGAAAAATTATGCCTAGCAACCGAATAATTTGGATTTCTTAATTTTGCTACCTATCGATTGAACATAATTAAATATTGCACATCTACACTTCAGTCGCAAATATCTTAAGATTGAATGATGGAAACAATATGATTATTAAGGTATTAAAGAATAAGGGATTAAACAATGTGATCATTGAATTTGTTCTTTCATGTTCTACAAGGATATCGAAAAATAAACATAGGATTTTATTTAAAAAATGGTGATTACCTTGAAATACTGTCACTTTGTTCTAAGAAGCTTTTTCACATAATAATAAATAAGGCAGATATTTAGCAATAGGTTATTTTTAGGAAATATAAAATGATGAATTTTTTAAAATGGCATATATTTATCACTTCCATTCCAATATAGGAAAATATATTTATATATATAATTCTTTTGTACAATGTCTCAAAAGTATAAAGGCTATGTATTTTTAATCGCAATAGCTGCTTTAATAATTCCTTTTTCTTTTTAATAAAAATATTGTAACATTTGGTGAATATTTCACTTTGTATATATCATTATTACATCATTAATATTACATAATAAAATAATTTGGTTTATCATCTCGTGTCTCTTCTGTACCAATATTTATTACTTTGTAGTATTATACAGGTATTACGCACGTTAAATGTAAAATTATATTTTAAATTTGTTATTGCACTCTTAACGAGTCCCAGAAAAATGTTAACGCTGCAATTATTTAACATTGTGATATAGAATAGATTTTTTTATACAAATACGTTAACTACTTATGTATAATAAATACAATTAGTGCTTGTATGATTTTGATGTATACAATTATCAATTAGTACTTTAAGCGATTATATGTATATCGTACAATTGCACGAAGATGATTATCGTTAACCTTTCTCATAAAGGCATATTTAAAAAAAATTTTAACAATTTAAGTTATAAATATTCGTGACATCATAAATTAAATACCCTCATTCAACTCCATACATCACTCGAGTAACGTTTCTGTGAATCCATTTTCTTGATGTAATCTGCAGCATCTGATTCTGACATTTTTCCTTTTTCCATTACAACTTTTAATAAAATATTGTGTACATCACGTGCCATATTTTTTGCATCTCTAAAATACAAACAAATATACATATATTTTATGAATATATATCACGAATTATTACACAATAAAAAAATATGTGTACATATATATATTGCAAATATTTTTGTTAATATGATATTATACTAACCCACACACATAGATATGCCCATTTTGTTCACCAATAACTCTCCACAATTCTTCTTTATTCTTTTCCAATAAGTGTGTAACATATATTTTTTGAGCCTGCTCTCTACTAAATGCAGTATGTAAAATTAGAGTACCACTCTTTACATACTCCTCAAGTTCTTTTCTGTAAAGAAAATCTTCATCTTTTTTTCTACATCCAAAATATAAAATAGTATCTCCAACTTCTTTTCCTAAAAGATTAAAAATAATACATTTATTTAATTTACGATTTATTTAAAGAAATACAGATAAACTTAACGTAACTTTTTTTTGTATTGTATTTACCTTCCTTTCTGGCAAAATCACGTTCTTGTATAAATGCTCTGAATGGTGCTATACCAGTACCTGGACCAACCATGATTATTGGAATCGACGGTCGGGTTGGTAAACGAAACTGAGATTTTCGCACAAAAATAGGAACATAACATGGTGGATCTGAAGGATGCTTTTCCTTTAACCAACTAGTTGTTACACCTTTGTTAACTCTACCTGTAGGTGTTTTGTATTCCACTACAACTGCAGTAATATGGACTGATGTTGTGTATAGCTGAAAATTAATCAAGAAATTGTTTTAGAACTCCCTAACAAGTCTTATTTAATTACAATAATAGAGAACAAAAAATTAAGAACTGTACTTTTTATATAAATTATACAATCTTATTATTTTACTATATTTAATAATTTAATGTTATGTAATATTGTTTATATTATTCAATGTTCATTTCAAATTCAAATTCAAGTTTATGCAGTAACTTGCTGCAAAATAATTCCAACATACCTTGGGAGAAGAGGAAATCGAATAATATCGACATTGCAATCTTGGTAAAAGTTCACAAAGATGATCTAAGGCAGGCTTTAAACTAGGAATGTCTTCCAAAATATGTACAATATTTCTATTTTCTTGAACTACCCATTGCTGATATGCAGCTTTGCCTTCTGCGCTGGTTAACGCCATTAATCTTAATTTTTCTTTGTCGTTTGGATCACTGCAATATTCCGCTAATTCCTTAAGAACATGGGTGCGTGGATTACTAGTAATATCTAAGTAATGTGTCAATGCAGTTCTGTAAGAACATGGACAAGGGAATGGATGCTTCTTTGTAGATTCCTCTGTAATATATAAAAAAATTCACATTATAAAGACACTAATATTAATTAAATTTATATTTAGTTGATTTCTAATTTACCATCTGTATTTGTAAGAGTGAACACTGTGTCTAGATGTACACCACACTTTTCTCCAATTTTATTTACTAGTTCTGCATTATTTACAGGGTATACTGCTAAATGATCACCAGCTTCATATCGCATTTTTGATCCCTCTATATAAAATTCTATATGCCTACATGATCTTTCTGAAGTTGGACCATGAAGTTCACGGTTTTCGTGTACTGGAGCTAAATAAGGATTCTTTGCATCAAAAGGTCTATAGAAATTAAATTAAGTTAGATAAATATTTTTATGATCTCGATATATTTACAAAAAGATAAATTAAACATACGCTCTTTGATTCTTAAGTGAGTGAAGACGAGCTATTTCACCAGTGTAAATGCGTTCAGGTGGTATGTCAACGTGTTCAGTCAGCTTGTATTGTCTAATGCTAACATCTTCACCCGTACCTTCGATTCCAAAGAAGTCACAAACTGCTGGCCAGAACTTGTCCTTCCATGTGATGAAATCATCTTCTATACTATAATTATTTATTTTATATATTATTATTTATTGTATGTATATACATATATTTATTGTATATATATATATATATATATATATATATATATATTATAACTTTATATATTTTATTTTGGGGTTATCTTGTATAACTTTATACAAGTAACTTTAACATTTGAGATATGAAACTGTTTTTGGTATCTCTATAAACTTACTTAGCATCGTCATCTCCCAAACCAAGTTCGAAGACGCGCGTAGCACCAAGTTGCTCTAATCTATGATCGACATATATAGCTACCTCATTGTAATGTTCATATGTTTTATTTCCAAGACCAAATACCTGCAAAATAAAGCGAAAAGAATGATAAATAATAAATGAATGTATACTTTTTATACTTTATGCAGTAATCGACGAAAATATTTGAATACTTATCATAGAAATATTGTATATATATATTACGAATGTGTTATATAAAATATTTAAAAATTTTATTATAATGAGACATGAATAAATATATGATAAATTTTAATAAAATATGTTTACAAAATTTAATTGTAAAAATATAAACATCGGTAGACAAATTTCTAAATATTAGTTCATGTACCTCAGACGTTGGCGCTAAAACTAACATTGAAAAGCGCCGTTGGGTAGCGCTGTTGCATCTATAATGCTTCATCATCGCTTGGAAGAATTTGTCGAACTTTTTTACGTTCATTGTCAGAATGTTTTTCGAGGAATGTTTTACAATTTACTAAAAGTTCTGCTGCTATTATAACCGTAATAATTATAATAAAGAATTATTTTTTCACAATAAAGAACACTATCACACGTTAATAAATGCTATCTATGTAGCTGCACATGTGACTGCTATGAAGTACTTATGTAATATTCCATTATTGTTACATAAATGAAAATTTCATCATAAAGGAAAGTAATTGATGATATTATTTATAATGTAACATAGATTATTATAATATTTAATGCAATGCTCAATACAAACGAACAGTATAACAGTACTCTGATCTTGTATTACTCTAATGTTATAACCATGTGAAAAGATATACAACGCCATCTAACAACACGAAAATAAGTTCTAATTTACTTTTGCATCATACTATATTTTATTTGTTATTTTAAATTATCATTACAAATACGCATACATTTGCACGATTGTATTATAATTTTAAAAATGTATTTTTAAGATTAAATGTTATTACATATCTATATGTAATACTAAAACCATATAATTATAATTTCAACTTCAATATCAGATATAAAATACTTACGGCATAATTTAATCCATTCAAATCAGCATCTCCATTTTTTAGCCAATCAACGAATTCCATAGCATTGTCCGTAGGATCACCCTCTCCATATGTAGCTAAGCAAAATACTGCCAAACTGTTTGGAATTGTTTTCAAGTGTATTAACTCTTCCTGTTATAATAAATTACAATTATTTAAGATCACGAATAAGTGAATAAAATAACGAAGCATCAAAGTAATTTCCCTTTTGATTTACTTAATTTATACTTGAATTCTACTACATATTATTATTGGTTTATTTATTTCATACTTGAATTTTATTATCGAATTTATGTCGATAAATTCTAATGACAATCAAATATTTATTGG